ACCCTAAACCCCTATATAAACCCTTTAAAAGGGTACCCCCTGAGGAGCTCCAGGATGCTACAGAGTTCGAAGCCGTCGAGGCCCCGCAGAACATCTTCGCCGAGGCATCTCCTGGACAGTTTTGGGGTTTCCCTAAATGTGGGTACCTTGTCAAGGTCCCCATAATATTTTGGGAAACTACCAGTTCTGGTCGGTTCGGGGGGGTTATGATTTCAAATGTTCAAAGAACTTGGGGGTTAAGAATTTGAGGAATTAAGGTTCTAGGATTTAGGGAGTTTTAGGACCGGGTTTCCTTGTGTAGGGGCTGGGGTTGCCACAATCCCCTTTCCATCCCTGTGACCTATGACAACCCTCAACCCTAAACCGTCTATTTGGAGATGCCTGGAACCGAGCTTCCAGCAGAGACATGGATCATCGAATACCAGCAGACACCCAACTCCCCAAGGCTCCAAACAGCCCAATGTAGGTCATAATTTTAGACTTCGGGGCCCAATGTAAGCATTATTTATAGACATGGAGCCCTAAAGGGGACCTAGGGTTTCCATTTCATTTTCCATTTTCTTTTCCATTTGATTCTCCATTATTAGGGTAATACTGAAAAGTTTCAGATCCTGTTTCTCCAGCGAACAGCGCCCCAAGGGTCCAAACACCCAAGTTGTTGTACACTCAGGCCCCAAGGAATCTACCCAACATCCGATGTGAACCCAAGGCATTCATGCATAATACCTGTGCCTCTCACATGACCATGCCCTTAACCTTGCAAAATTAGGTGCATAGGTGCTAATTCCGAGTATTTAGGAGGTGTAGATACTTGGCCTCTTTGGTGGGAAGCCGGAACCCTAGGTCCTAAAGCTTCAACTCCTTACAGCCTTATACCCCAAACATTACCTTGACACCAAGTCTGGAACCCAAATGCCTGCCAAATGAGCTGTAGTCTAAACTCTTCCAAAGGAGGTTATATAGGCAATGGGATAGGGGATATTAAGGGGATACTAGGAGTTTAGACCATAGCTCAAATAGCACCTACATAGGTCCCATTTCATTAAGCACAGGTGGGGGTTCCTGGCACTTCAACACTTAAGCCTAAACCCAACTAAAGCCTAAACGCCAAACCCAACTTCCATTCTTTGGGGCAGGTGCATTTCGGGGAGTTGGCCGTTCGCCTCCTGGACGACAGCAAGGAGGACGAGGAGGACGAGGAGGTCCGGTTTTCTTGTCATTATAGGCTTAGGGTTTAGGGTCATTGTAGCTACTATGACTGGTATGCTGTCACTCTTATGGCAAAACCATTGCTATGTTCATCTTTACTATTGTTGTAATCATGGGTATTTCCTTGAGATCGAAGTACATGAAGAAGTTTACTTTGGCCCCTGGAGAGTCTAGATATTTAGGGCTATCTGGATCCCTAGGACTGTTTTGGGCTTTTAGGTTGCAGCTGTTGTTTAGGTGGATTCCTTGTGTTTAAAGCACGCGTGGCTTAGTGTTTCAGTTTGAGTCTACGTGTGTTCGTGAAACCTAAGGTCGTGCTGGGGATCTATAACAGTGGAGACTTGAGACTCGACACCTTTGGAATTCAGTGCGCCGTCATCGGTTTGCCGTTGTTGGTTTTCTTGCTGTATGTCTTTGAGTTGTTGGGGGTTTCGATTTCTAGCTTGTCCCTTAGGGTATGTGTGTGTGTGGTTAAGTGGTTAGGCAACCTAGCAACCCCGATAGTCCCTAGTCATACCCATTACCCCAAGGCTCCCAAAGCTTCCTCAGTACCTGTTTTTTTGGACCCACCTCCAGGAGAGGAGACCACGGTAAGATTTGGGTGCCCGTTAGTGTTCAGAATGTTACTTCCCGAGATTCTTCCGCACATATAGCACCAGAATGTCAAGAAACACAAGAAAAGCCTTCTCAAACGTACGACCCTGGCGCTCCGGTTATATACCTAAATATAGGGAACTGGGTTCTATATACCCTAAAGTTACATAGCCCAGTAGCCCATCATTTATGTAGCTGGGAGCCCTGGGCCCAGTGCAGGTGCTACGGCTCTTCGTCCACAGCACAGCGCTCACTGCCACCGTGGCCACGGGCCTGGAACCTTTCCCAGCCTTAGAAGTGTAGGGCTTTGTTCTCTTTTAGGGTTTAGGGTTTAGGTTTAACTACCCCAGTAGTACCCTTTTTCCCTTTTTATCCGGGGCTTCCTTATTGAAGCTGAACAGTGGGAACAAGGGTACCCTTATTGTTAAGGTGTTACTGGGGAGCCCAGTTAACATGTCTGTAAAGAGTTTTGATAGGTTTTGAAGATGAAGGGTTTGGGGAATATAAGGTCATGCTAAGATATTTCACACAGTACCTCATTGTCTGTTTTGCAAGAAGAGAGGCACCATAAACAAACCTAAAACCCAAGACCGTTTTTCATTCAGTGCACTCACCTTGTCGTTTTCAGAAAGGTCCTACACCATAAAGCCTAAACCCGAAACCTAAGCCCTGAGCTTTCATCTACTTAGTGCTTTGAAATGCGGCTTTTTCGGAAGTTTGTGAGCGACAGCCAAGGATTACCGCGGAAAGTCCTCAGCCAACCTCAAGGTTGCAGGCGGGGTTCCATGTGTTTTTTGGGGCGGGATCTTATATAGGCTTTAGAGTTTATGTAGGGGTTTAAGGGTTGTCAGGTTTAGAGTGTATATTAATTAGGGCTTTGGGTTAAGAGTTTATATAGGTTTTTGGGTCGTAGTTGAAGGTTTCAGGGCCTAGGGTTTCGGTTTCAGGGTTTCTAATCGCCTTGTTGGGGGTCCAAAGTTCTTTTCAAAACTAGCTTGTTCTTCATTTGCCGTAAATGGTTCCATGTCTTGTCCTAGGTTACTAGGGGCCTTACATTATGGGGTAGAGGGTTCGGGTCCTCGGGGTGTGGGATTTGGGTTGAATTTAGGGTTTGGGGTTGAGGGAGTTCAGGGTTCCGAGAAGGCTTCCTAGACCGCCCAGAAAATCATGGCCTGTATACCCATTGTTGGGGGGCTAAGTTGGGTAGTATAGAGGGGAGGTAGTAGGCATTTTGAATCAGATGGAATAGACCATGCAAGAATGAATTGGAAACTGGGGTTATATTTTGGTTTATAGGGACATGTAATGTACAGGCCTCAATAATTACCAACATCATGGTCCTAGATCCTTCGCATGCTGGTAGTTTGGGGTAGCTCACATAAGCATCAAAGGTAAGGATAACCATGTACGCACCTGAAGTAGTTGTGCTAAAGGGTTTGGGGGCTCCAGGCTTCGGATTAATACTGTCGCGCTCGATGCTTAGGGATAGCTGCTCTGGATGTAGACCGCTTTCTGTCAGGTACCAGTGATTGTTTGGGCTTCTGCTGGGGGATTACATAGATTGTGCGCAATATAATGGACTTCAGGGGTTCTCTGTAGGGTTATACCAGATACAAAGCAACACCACGCCACTACATGAGAGCTGGGAGACTGACAGGAACAAGATGCTCAAAACCAAAGGACGACTTCGATGTTGCGATATCAGGGTAATCCCTTGTGGAGACTACGGATCGTACTTGCGTTTGGGGCTACACAGATGGGATCCAAATATAGACCCAAGTATACATGAGAACATGAATCCTATGTAGCCCCAGCATGGGCCTCCAACTCCAGAACCTACAACACAGTCCCTCTTGGGTATCCATTCGTTCTGCTGGTCAAGTCCTGTAGCAGTGCCTCTGACAGGCCGATTGGGTGGCGTGGAGGCCAGCCATATGAAGCAGGACGTCATCAAGCGCTTTGCCTGCAATTCAGAACCCTTCAGGTTGTAGCCCTGAACCCCTTAAAACGATAGCCCAGGGTTCTATCTATAGGGGTACCAGGGACCTGGCACCTGCACTGCCCACCAAAGCCAAGGCATTCCAAAGTGGTGTTGCGGGTTGTGGATTTCGGGCTTAGGTTTAATCGAGGCCGCTTTAGGTTCCCCTTGGCAACCTTGGCCCCTTTTCTAGCCCCGGCAAGACAAGGGCGTGCAGGACAAAATTCCTCCACTGTCCACCCTCGACGCCCCAAACCCTGGCCTTCTTAGGGGTCCCCATTCCCCTTCTTTTAAAGGGCACTCCCAAACCGGTCATGACTTTTAATATCGAACCCTACATGCAATTTAGATATGGGTTGGGCGACCTAGCGATGTATTTGATTTTGTAAAAGGGTTTCGAAGACGCGCCCATATGTGGGTTCATAATGCCTTCGTTTCAAGGATCCCTATAATTGGGACATATCAGGCATGCAGTATCTGTCTCCGGACTGCACTTTCAACAGTACTGATCTGACAGCTTTTCAACATGTCCATTAAGGAATCTCCCTCATTCCCCCAAAGGGGGTTTCCCAGAATTAGGGGTACCCTTTTGGGAGTCCCAATAATAAGGATTGTAGTATTTTGGGGTCTATATTGGGGTCCCCCTATCTTGGGAAACTACCATATACCCTCTGGTCTCCTAAGGCTCCTTCTTTGCGAGATGCCCATATGGTAGCTGATCAAAGTTCCTGTTCCCTAAGTGGCCATTATGGAAAGTAGAATTCTTCTACGTTTGTCCTTATAGACTTACAAATGCTTTCAATAATTTCCCCGAATGACCTTCAGGTTCAAATCAACCCCCATATGGTAGTTTCCCAAAATAAAGGGACCCCAATATAGACCCCAAAATACTATAGTCCTTATTATGGGGACCCCCAATATGGGACCCCTAATTTTGGAAACCCCCATATCCCCAGGATCCACGCAAGCGGCTCGGAAGTGGGTGCTGCCCAGTTCGCTTTGGAGAGCCTCGGACCGACAGGGGAGGCTGTGTCGTCAGAAAACTTGAGTTATTAAGATTATGTTTACTCTACTGTTTTTATTTTGTTATTAGTACTGCTATTGCTATTAGTACTATCATTGCTATTTCTCACGATGAACATTATTAATATTATAATGTGCACGAGCGGATTATCAACTAATAGCCCCCGAAAACCTCCTCTAAGGTTTCTGGTGGTACGGGCGAAGCCAAGGTTTAAGGTAGTCTCGTTGACACAGGACTGGGCATCATTTGCAAGGCGGATACTTTTTACTTAGATCCGATGCTACCTATATGCTGGTACACCAGAGGATCGCGTCGCTTGGAGGCTTCTTTTGCATATGAAAGGCTGCTTTGCCAGACACTGACCCTAAACCCAAAACCCTTTATACCCATTAAGTGTGTACACCTCGAGACAGACCACTGGGCGCCTAACTGCTGGAAGTTTGCCAAGCTTCTTGGAAGGTGTGTAACCTTGCACCCTAAACTCAGAAAGCAGAAGCCCACAAACTGGAGCGCAAACCTCACTCCTTAACTTGGATAGTAAAACAGACTGTACTTGTAGAAGGGCAATTGTATACATGGGTCACCCCAAGCCCTAAACCCCTAAACCCTAAACCCTAAACCCCCAAACCCAAAACCCAAAAACCCTCATGAGCCTGTCCCTTTGGGAGCCTGAGCTCAGGAACAAGCTGGAGGAGACCTGCAACGTCCTGCCATTCAGATGACATAGCTACCATAGGGGCCTCCCAAATAATTTCCCTAAACCCTAAACCCGTTATCACCGAAAAATATATGTGTAAGTGGGGTTCTGAGGCCGGTTCAGGCTTTTTGTTTGTCTGTTAGAGTCCAGATAGGACGGGAGGTGGTCCGTCTTCCAGGTCATTTAGCCCTAAAACCCAAATAGTAGTTTCCATTTTCTTTTCCATTATCCCTATCTACCCTATTAATACCCCCTGTAAAGGGACCTCAAGGTCCAAACCCTAAAGCCCAAACCCTTAAAGCAATCTGTCCAAGGAGGCTGGAGAGCCCCTTTGAGATAATGGTTTGGGGTTGGGTAACAGTCTATATTAGGGGTCCTATTAAGGGCTATATATAACCATCATATACTTATTATCCAACTGTTACTGAGGGGGAGCAGTACCCAAGGTTTGGGTATTGAGCCTATTCAAGTTTCGCGGGAGCATTTCAGCGGCGGCGTCAGGCAAGGTGGTTTACGTGCGATTTTTGCGAAATGGTAGGTAGGGGCTCTTGCAAGTCTGCAATAAGTCATCTCTGTTTCCAAGCCTCACCCTTATCTGGAATCAAAGGCCTCATCCCCAAAGTTCCGTTCATGGCACATCAGCAAAGGCACAGGGACCTTATTGGCAAGAAATGCCATTAAGCCACGCTACTGACATCTGAGCAAGCCTCGGCAGAACGTTGAGCCCATGGCTGCGTTGGTGAATTTGTATGTTATCCTAAAGCCAGCCCTCCAAAAGTTGGCAAACTCCGTGGCTGCCATGCGCTGCATAATCCCGTGTTCTGAAAGGTCCGTCCTGTTTCACACGGCCCCCCTGGAAGTTTTCTTCATTCCGAGCGACCCGGCTTTTCAACGTCCAGGATACTTTGCCTTGACATCGGGCGTCCTAGTTTTTTGGACTAGGCCCGACAAACGCGAAGGGCAATCCACCAAAAAAATGCCGGACATATGGAGCCTAAACCCTAGATAGTAGCTTCCATGTTCTTTTCCATTATCCCTATATATCCCTATACTACCCCCATATATCCCCTAGATAAGTCCTATACTCCCTTCAAAGGTGTTTGTCAAGGTTTTCGGATGGTTGGGGGCAAGGAAGTAGGGTACAGCAGTTTGGGGGATGAAGGTGCCAGGTTCCCGGTCACCACCCTTTAAGGGATTATGGTGCTCATGTGGGGGATATATAGGGGTAATGTAGGGGAAATATAGGGATAATGAAAAGAAAATGGAAGCTACTGTACTATTTAGGCTTAGACTACTGAAGCCGGGTGTTGGCGGAATTTGAGGGTCCATAGCCTTTTTCTGGGCAGATGAGTCAGGAAAGGGTTTAGGGTTTTGGG